TAAGCCTAAGCCTAAGCCTAAGCCTAAGGCTAAGCCTAAGCCTAAGCCTAAGCCTAAGCCTAAGCCTAAGCCTAAGCCTAAGCCTAAGCCTAAGCCTAAGCCTAAGCCAAATTTAGTTACACCGAAGAAATGGAATGCAGGGACTGTTAAATAATGAACATCTATATAATAAACTAGACAATGTGCCAAGCCCAGGGTTTGTGTCATACTGAGAGTTGACGTCAAAGATGTTAGGAGCTAAATGGATATGAGTGTTGGGTTATAAAGTTGGTTGATGGAAGCATGAAACCAGTGCAAGTGAGTTTTCCAACTTAAGCTTTACAACTTTGTGCTCCAATGGTTTTTTTTTCAAACGAAACCGTTCAGAATTCATCCTGCGACGATGGTTCACTTTCTCAAGCAGATCTCCGGAACCTTCAAAATCAATTATTATACAAGGTACTGTTCACTCACTCTTTGTTTTATGGCCATGTCTTCAAGGATAATCGTATCTGTGAGTTGAGTAACGAAATACTGTGCAAAGAACAGGAAATCTTAGATTTGCAAGTTTGTCTTTGTTTAATTTTTTTTGCATTCTCATAATATGATCAGGAGTTATGCCATGAAAAGGACAGAATGGCCGCTGCGAAAAATGAGGCGATGAGGCTTCTGCAGTATAGAATAATGGTAATATCTTTATGTTAATGCTGAATATCTCAGTTTTTCAAGATGTTCGATAACAAGGAAGTGAAGGAGATAGGCACAGAAACAGATGCGATCCTCTGGGCGGATTCACGAAGTAAGAGTGCAAAAACCCCAGGTCATGCGGTCATAAGAGGTGCTCGTTACATATAATGTTTTGTGATGCAAATGAAATTTCAGGTTACTCTCCTCCACCCTTAGATCCCAGCGAGTACGATGAAGAACACACTATCAATACCCAGTCACAAGTGAGCTATCGTAGAATTTTGCTTCTACTTCCTTCTCAGTCAGATGAAGTAGATTACTCACTTTTGGCTAGGAAGCAAAAAAAACGTGTTACATTCGATTTACCTCCCAGAGAATCAAGGCAAACTAGCAGGTGTTGTTATTTCTCTTGGAAACTGTTCGAATCGAAAAATTCAGCGAACAAGAGCCGGAAGTTATACGTTTGATCGAAGAAAGAGATTCTATACAGACGCGTTTCAAAGCAGCTTATGAACTGTGGGAGAAGGAGAAAGCGGAACTTCAGTCGGTAACCTATGAAGTAGTTCTTGGATTATCAACATGAATTAGTTTATAACTGATAAAGAAAATGCTCTCCGAGATACCAAACATGCACTTCTGAAAAGCCGCGCTGTTGCTCAATCTAAAATTCGGGAACTTGAAGAAGCCAGCACAGAAACGAATTCGAATGCATCCAAACGAGTGAGCCCAGCAGTAGTATTATTGTTATCGAATATTTCTCAGATAGATTCTTTATTATTCGAAATCGACTCACTACGCAGTTCAAGAGATTGGGAAGTGAAGAACAATGGAGTTCTCAAAGAGGAAATTAATGAAGTTCGGTTTGTTGAAAGTCACCATTTCTTTTGCGATGAGCATGTTAACAGAGCTAAAATTTCACAAATCACAATAGAACTGGATGGAAGTGAAAAAAATAATCGTGAACTACAGAGAAAGGTTAGATAGGTTGTAGTTTTTGAGAATATTTTGTGTATCAAAGTTGAAAAAAAGTAATGAAACGAATGATGATGTGATGGTTGAGCTATTAGATGCAGAGTCTCTTGTAGTTTTAATGGAGGAACAGAAGAATGACATTTTAGATGATGTGGACAGATTGAAAGGTGGTGAATATATTTTGAAAATTTACTATTTGTTTAGATGCTCTCAAAGCTCAAGATTCTCTGATTGATTTGCTTGAAGCTGATGTTATCATATACGAAGAACATATTGGTATTTTAAGAGAGTCTCTAGGAGCTTCTAAGGTGTGTTGGTTGAAAATAGCATGGTAACTGAAAAACTTCTTCTAGGTTGATCATCGATCTATTATACGCTCTAGAGCATTTGAAGCAAAGTTGAAAGCTTTAGAACTAGAGAAAGAGCAATTTTCTCGTCGCTCGCATGGTAGGAGAATCAGTATCACTTATTTTGTGCAAACTTTTGTTCAGAAGATAAGATCAAGTCGAATAATTTGAAAAGGAGAATAGAAGAATTGGAAGAAGAAAATGAGAAACTTGTAGAAAAACTTTGTGAGGCCGAGATGCTTTTGAAAGACCAACATGAATTAGAAAAAATGAATATGGAGCTAAAGAACAATCTCTTACAAGTTTGAAGTTTACACATCCTGAATCAATCTTAGTTCTAGCGTGAACTCTCCTGCGCTCGAGTGAATGATTTGGTTTCTGCAGAGGATATCACGGAAAATGCAGCTGAAGGTAATTGGGATATTTTTCATCATTCTTTTATTTTTTTATATTAGGTTTATGGTATATTCTTCATAATTATTTTATTATCTTATTCCAGAAAAATCAAGTGATGTCTACGTTTCTGACATTACAAACTATCCAGATCATGAACAGGACGTTCAGAAAGACACAGATAATCAGTCGATGGGTAAGGTTATGCTGCTTTGTAACGATGCTCACCACGCAGCAGAAACTGGTGATCGTTCAAAGCTCGATACGCTGGAAGATGTTAGTTTATTTTGTGCTTTCGATCAGAATAATAAGCCGCATTTATAGGAACCAAATATTCAATCCGTTAACGATTCTGAAATAAACCTATGTGAGCCAACGGAATTAGTCCATGAATGCACTGTCCAGCATTCGGAAATTCAAGAAATGGAATTTACACGCTTGGTATCCGAGAATATCATACTAAGGCAATGTGTTGACGATTCTGTGCGAACTCAGAACGATGTATATGAGGTGTGACGTTCTCCACCTTTTTTCTATCTTATTTTTCGATCAGGATCTTGAGAAATTGTGTGATTTGAAATCAGAGCTCGAAACTGCTGTCAATGCTCTTAAAGGAGAAGTTTGGTCTCTCAACAAGCAATTGAAAACGGTTTATTTTCATTATCGTTACTAACTGTGCTCGATATCTTTAGTCACATCAGGAATGCTCGTCTCTTCAAGAAAGGAGGGATCAGTTAGAAAGCGAGCGGTTGAGTGATCAAGAAGCTTTAAATTGTTTGCGCTTAGAAATGTCTGAAATTGTAAAAAAAAAAAAAGAAATTCGAACTATGATAAGAAAAAAGTTTTCTTTCAGTCATCCGAGAGTAAAACTATCCAGAATGAGCTTCTTGTGGTAAAAAAAGAGCTGGAGACAGTCACTAAAATTGCGGAAGAAAGAAAAACGCACGGGTAGGTGTTTTTCCCCATAGTTCATGTAACCATACATTCACAGTGATGAGATGAAATCTGCTTATCATTTACTCAATGACTACTATGAAGATTTGCAAGCGGCTTACAATGAACTCTATGCCAAAGTAAAAATTCTCAGCTTATTGAACTCATGCATCTGTTCAGCATTCGCAATCCCTTCAATCAGAGAACATTGATGCAATCATGGACACTCTGCTAGATCGCTCCGAAATTGTAGAAGAAAAGCAATTCGGTCTGAACAGAACAGAAACTATTTGTAGTTATATATCCGTTTTGAAAGCAGAAGTTTCTATCTCTGATATTTTGAATGCTGTACGATTCCTTTCAGAACATTACTTTGCACAAAACAGTTAGCGAGTTCAAAGGAATTAATAGAGCTTTATTCGAACGAGTTTCCATGGAAGACAGAATAGAGGAAGACAGTGAGAAAGTAACTGACCTGTATGTAACATCGATCAAAGAAGAAATCTTACATCTGATAGAGACGAATAAGAAGGTATTTGTGAGTATTTCGAGTGCTTTCTTAAGTACGCTTCTAGTTATTAGCTGATTTGGAAAATGAGCGATTCGTCAATAAAACTGATGGCTAGTTCCTTTTGCTTTCCTTTTCAATGAAACATTTTTAGATCAGTTGTTAAATAGACAAAAGATAGATTTAGAGATCTTGAATGCCAAGTTAATAACGAAGCAAACTAACATTGATTCTTTGCTCCGTGCAAATTCAGAACTAGCGTATACTAACGCTCATTTACAAGAGGAAGTTGATGAAATGAGAAGACTAGCCCAAGATCTTGAGAAAAATACCCAACCCTTCTTAGAAAAAATCGAGGATTCTGTTGATTTTCCAGAAGCTGCAGTAAGATTCTTATTCAGATATTAGTTTATAGTATTTCAGGGTGATGAAGAAGAATTTTCTTTTCTTGTACAAAAGCAGTGCGAGTTCATTGAGGAGACCTTTCGTAAGTTATTACTATAAATCAGTTTGCCAAATAGATTTTACTAATATATATATATATATATATATATATATATATAGTTTTCGGAGAATGTAATTCCGTAGTACTATTTCAGAAGCTGGAAAACCGCAAATAGAACTTTCTGAGTTGAATAGTACGTGTGAAATTGATTTGAATGTTACTGCTTATGCTGAAATGGTAAACTGTCGTTTTTAACGTCATAATAGCTTTCCCAGGGTGTGTGCAAGGCACTCCGAGAAGCGAACGAAATTCTTTTTAGTGGACGGCTGATAGATCTTAAGTATTTTAAGAAACAATTTGTTTCATAATTTTCTACTTTCAAGTGAATCGGACTTGGAAAACAATTGTGGAGTCGATAAATTAGGGTTGGAAATAAAAAGCTTCATCAAAACATGCTCTACCCACATTACGAGTTTGATGGAAGAAAACTCTCAGCTTTCACAGAAGAACAAGTCATCGCTGTTGGAGCTGGAGGTATGACTTCTTACATTAACCCGAGAATACACGTACGTAACCAGGAGCTCATAGTTCAAAAACAAGAAATGGAATTGCAAGTATGTAACCTGAGAACACAAATGCTTCATAGTCAACAGATTTCAATCGATGGTTAGTAATATTCAGAAAATTCATCTCCAGTTCATGATTGAACGAAGCAATCTGAATATTTTAGATATTCAGACCAGGAAGGAATACGAGATGAGGGTTTCTCTATTGGAAAAGCAAAACGATCTGTTACAAAGAAGTGAATCGGCATTGTTGAAAGTGGTGGATGATTTAACAAAGTGAAACATCTTGTCATAATTAATAATCCTTTCATGGTTTTTAGGAAACTAGAAAGAAAGGAAAAGAAAGTAAAAACTGCTATCACAACCGAAAGGTGAGTTGCAATAGCATAATGCCTAACCGTTTTTGTTAAAGTTCAGAAAACACCACTTCTATCAATCAAAAACCAGAAACCCTTCCTAAAAAAGAGGTGAGGCATTGAGTACAACCTCCTAGAAACTTATCCTGGTTTAGAAACAGTTGTTGAATTATGCTCTGGGTGTAGTAGACGCAACATCAGTAGGCACCTCTTTGGTAAAAAATTTCCAATTTCATTATTATTCGTAATTCTAGTTCAACGCCGACGAAAAATGTAGGAAAAGAGTGGCGAATTCTAAGAAGTGATCAAAGAGAGAAACAAATCTGTATTATACTTGTTAATTTAATATTTATTAACTTATCCTATTACTTTCATAATATTAATTGTAACTGTGATATTCTAAGATGGCATCACAATTTTTTATATGCCTATCTTATCTGCTAAGGATAGAATTCTGTTCTATGAAAAATATGGTGGGTGAACGGATTCTACTTGCTTAGCCTAAAAATCGGATACTACGATATAAATATTCAATGGGGAACTTACTTTATTGTAACAAAGCACTCCTATGACTGATAACGACACTCCAAAAATATTAAAGCCTACATATATTTAATGTTAACTGTGTATAGCAAAACTACTCACTTGTAACCGGATTGTGTAGAGTGGCTAACGAAGAGAATATTACAGTTATTCTCTTTGTTGCGTTACAAACCGAGTACGATAATGCTGATAGCCGATGGATCAATTGGAACGCACATACGTTTTGCATGAAGGCTAGAGATGCGGAACACATAAGCAAGAAGTACATCTCATAGGCGGCACGATCATACCCCTACTGAATGTCATTTCGAGAAAAATGAACGTGACTTACGATTTCAGAGCTTCCACTCCAGAAAGGAATTCCGTCACTAACAAACCAAAATGGCATAAGACAAACGGCCGACAGTTCCGAATTCAAAACCAGCAAATACAAAGGGTGAATACCGGTACATTTCATGAGCTAGAAGATTATTTAAAGAAGTGAATAAATTCAACTTCGTCCACCTTTTTCATTACTATACTGAGTATGGCATAAGTAAAAGTGGAAAACAAAGCAAATAATAAACCTTTCAAAGAGAAAGATATTTCCGTGATAGATGCTATGATTACACCTAAGACAATTGGGAACAATGACAGATAGACCTATAATATGATAAGTATCACGTTCACTAAGAGAAAATAAACCAAGTATGACTGTTTCTCCTTGAGGATTATTCTGCTTAGGAGAACTGCGAAGAAAGGCATGGAAGCTTTGACTTAAAACAAGAATAAGGTTCAGTAAGAAGAAAAATCACACAACCAGCTTGTGAATAAGATATCGGAACTTCCAAAAGACCACAATACGCACTGCCAACAGCTAACGCTTTGCCTGAGTTAATGATTTGAAAGTAACGGGTCAGGGGAATGCATACCTATCGATAATGGCAAAAGAAGATGTCGAAACTCAATTTTTGATAAGTGAGTTTTCTCTATTTTCCAATACTTTAAGAATGGATATGCCAGAAAGGGGACACATAGAAGATGGCATAAGGACAAAGTTAAGGGGAATGGGAAATTCTGAAAGAACTGTAAATGCTGTACTGATAAAGTAAACTTACTTGTAAGAACACTTTATTAACAATACTGCCGATTGCACTGATAGTATACCACGTGGAGCACAGTAATATTGTTTTCCATTCAGAAGAGAGAGATATGCTCGCTCTAACCTGATGGTCAAACGTTCAACAAACTTCTTAACAGAAATCGAAACATACCATTCTTGGAATTTATCCAAACTACTATTATGATTGAAACATAAAAGAAATACTTGCGCCCTAGTTCAATCAGACGTGGGTGAAACACACTGATGACGTGGCAATACAAATTATCAATAAAACTCTCTAAAATGGATAGTTTGCATAATATTAGTTATTACAAATTTCAAACTAAAGTGATATAGCCCACTAGAACTTCCACGCTCGTTACTTCCCTCTAACGTGTTTGAATTTACAAACATGTTACTATATTTAAGCTTTTGTTGTAGAGAAAAAGAACCCTCTATATATTATACCTGCCTGTAATGTGACCATATGCGGATCTTTTGATTGATGGATGAAGTGTTGTGTTCAGTTATTTGAACAGCTTTCATCATCCGTTAGCTCATGACTATAACTGCTTTAATCTACACGGATCATCTGCTCGCTAGACAGCAGGAATCTGTCTCTAATCTGCGGTCCTAATAAATCAAACCTGTGCTATGGCATATTCGTCTCAAACTTTCATTATTCCTAACAGCCTCTACGCTTCTGGAATTCTAGCTGTTCATCAGCAATCTTCGGTACCCGCAGAAAGAGCAGGCAAGTAGAAATGAACACACTTTGAAACGTAATAGTTTATCAGATGCCTACAAAGATTTCAACATAAACAAAAGAATAGTTGATCCTTTCGATCCTGAAGCAACCGTGCCAATGCCATTTCAACTGGACGAACAGCTCGGGTAGGTATGTTCAGATGCGATTAGATTATAGAATTCTTTAGCAGCTCCGTTTGGAAAAGAAATGAACGTGAGCGATATCGGGTACGCTGTGTTAACGAAGGATTTGAAAAATTGCGAAAGTACCTGCCAGTTTCCGATAGGTATGAACTGTGCAAATTCATGTATTCAGTCATTAAATTAGCGAAAAACGGATATCGAAGGTCGATACATTACGCTTAGCAATACGATATATCCGTCATCTTGATGCTACTCTCAGAAATGATCAACATACTTACAAGTTTAGTATTATGTAACTCAACAACTATAATAATATCCTAGATGTCGTTGTTTTCATGGCTTTCAGGAGGAATCTGAGGGTAACATACAAATCAACATGGACAGAAAGAATAATTATGATAATTGAGTTGAAGCTCTATGAACATTGCGAATTAAATCATATTGCTTACTTTGTTCAGTTATCCATAATTAAATTCGACATATATGAATATAGCATTTCAAATCTCCCGCGCACGCAGTCGACACGCGTTGCGTCCGAACCTCGTGTATACTAGCTGTGCTCCTCAATCAATAAAGTTTTCCTGCTATGTTTAACGCTGTTCGCTTTTTTGATTTTGTGTTCGCTGTATTCGATTTTTTCATCTATGAAGTTTAATTTCATTAAATCGTTGTGTATTTAATTTCATTTCAATAATATATAGGTGTAATGCTTCCTTCTGGGGATTATGAACGCCGTTTGTTTGGTCAACATAATCCAAATTCTTCGCCCGTGAAGGTAGAATAGTTAAATTTTTCTCATTCCTTGGAATTTCTGTAGAATTTCTCCCCTCATGGAACTCCAACCAAAAACCATGGTGACAGGTTTATTCCTCTTCGGCAACCTAGCGAAGATTGGTCAACACGGTATCAAGCCTTGGCGTGTCCCTTTGTTGAGGTTTTCTTCGCAAATTTCGATATTTGAATTTATACTGTTCAGCCTGTAATTAAAAATAAACCAAGTCAGCGATCAGCAACCAACTCAAGTAGTTCTCAATATTCGTCTAACGGAAGCCCAACTGCTAATATAGTTAACGTAAGAATTCCAAATCAATGTAGTTAATAATGATTTTAGCCACATACTGAAGAGAGTAGACAGGACCAGCTAGTGGTTCGAGCGTTATTACGTAACGAACTTCTGAGAGATAACATTGATGATATTCGCGTAAGCCTTTTTGCTTAGCAACCCCACACTATTCAATTTGTAGACATTGCAATCAGCTAAAGATACAGAGGGAGAGCGTGTCCTACCGAATCCTGCTGGTGGTTTATTCTCATATGGACAAACAACACCATCGAAGTTTGGAAGTCCCAGTACCAGTAGATCTTTGAAGTAAATTGATTTTCAACACCCAAAAAATGAGCATTTTCTCAGTTCTTCTCCCTTTGGAGGCCCATTGAGTGAAGATAGCCAAAGGCTTTTGAAAAGTCCAAGAAAGCCACAGAGGAAGGTTCCTAAAAATCCGTATAAGGTTCTGATGTTCCATTTTTGTTTTAAACTTATTAATTTGTTAGGTGTTGGATGCTCCAGATCTTCAAGATGACTTCTACCTCAATTTAGTAGATTGGTCCGCGCAGAACATGCTATCTGTAGGCTTAAGCTCATGTGTATATTTATGGAGTGCTTGCAATAGTCAGGTATGTACGCATTGATCATTGTATTTCATCAGCATGTGTTAAGGTTATAAAGTTGTGTGATCTGGTAACCGAACAGGACTGCGTAAGTTCTGTGCAATGGAACGATAAAGGAGATTTGTTAGCTGTTGGTACTAGTCGCGGATTAACACAGGTTATTTCACATCGAGTCCTGATTATGATTATTACATTATAGATCTGGGATGTAACAACTCAAAAAAAAATACTAGATTTATCGGGACATACATCACGAATAGGTTGCTTAGCTTGGAATGGCGATCAAATCTCCTCCGGTAGCAGAGATAGGACTATTCTTCAGCGAGACACGCGACAATCCAATGGTGATAATTATGAGCGAAAATTAGTATATCATAGACAAGAGGTAAATTGTTCAGTGTTTTAATGAAGTTTCACCTGCTATAGGTTTGTGGGCTGAAATGGTCTCCAGATAAACAATTTCTGGCATCTGGAGGTAATGATAATCAGCTTCTGGTATGGGGACATCGCAGGGATCATCCTATGCAGGTTGATATATGATGGTTATCTGTTTAATATATTTGTAATAGATATATACGGAGCACAATGCTGCAGTAAAAGCGTTGGCATGGTCTCCTCATCATCATGGTTTGTTAGTCTCCGGAGGAGGTACCGCCGACAAATGCTTGCGCTTTTGGAACACTCTAACTTCTCAACCAATGCAATATATAGATACAGGAAGCCAGGTTTGTTTTTTCATAGTAATGTTGTTAAACGCAGTATCAGGTATGTAACGTAGCATGGTCTAAGCATAGCAGTGAACTTGTGTCGACCCATGGATACTCGCTGAATCAGGTACTCTTCGTTTCGTAGTATAATTTATCGTTTGTGTAGGTTATAATCTGGAAGTATCCTAGTCTTCAACCCGTGACCAAGCTCACTGGACATCAGTACAGAGTGCTGTATTTGGTATACTCACACAATTGTACTGTTTATATTGTTCTGTTTCAGGCGATGTCTCCAGACGGTGAAGCGATTGTTACTGGAGCTGGCGATGAAACTCTTAGGTTTTGGCATGTGTTTTGTAAAACGGGTCAACAGCGTGGTGCTCGTAGTAAGCTTAATCTGTTCAACAGTCTACGATGATATGGCCAATCTCATTCCTCACAGCGCTCTTCTCATTCTCAAACAGTCTTTTTGTAATGTTTCGTGCAAACCTCAGCACGGGCTTGTGATTATGAACGATGTCACTACTGCTAGTCTTTTATATTGTACTAAAACTCATTAATTTGCATGTTGTACTAAGTTTCCTCTGAGGGAGTTGTTTGTATAATTTTGAATATGCCAGGCCAATTGTTGTTTTTTTTCAATGTCTGCTTAGCTCAAAGCACAAAGTCCTTCGTATAAGTATACACCATGTATTTATTAATATTAAATAAACAGTATATTGACATTTTTGCAAACTTTTGAATGCGATTTCGCTTGTCTGTGTCAGTATGCCATATTATCTTTGTTTCACTTTTTTAT